CATCCCCGAGCATAATGTTGTGAAATGACCGTTTTCTTATGCTCTAAGTCTGTAGGTGGGCAATTGAAGGGGGCTTGTCATTGGTCCCCAATATGTCAAGCCTCCTCTGGGAAGACTCAGTACTGGAGGTGACCCTACAGTGGGAGCTGGAACTATCTGCAGGCTCCCTTCTCTCCCACACTTGGCTTTCAGCTGGAGCTTCCGTGGGTGGAAGACCAGCACGATGTTGACCTTGCCACGCCGTCTCTCCACGTGTGTTGTTTTGGACTTTTTTGCAGCGGGATGACTGCGTGGTGTCATGTTGTGTTAGGATACCACAACTTCGGGACACCTGGGTGGCTCAGTTGGTTAAGTATCTGCTTTCAGCTCAGGTCAGGATCCAAGGGTCCTGGGATGAGTCCCGCATCAGGCTCCTTGCTCAGCAGGGAGCCTGCTTCTCCCTCTGCCTGCCTCTCCCCCTGCTTGTGCTCTCTCTCTCCGACAAATAAATAAATAAATAAAATCTTTGAAAAAGGGGGGGTAGCACGACTTCTGCCTGCCTCGATCAGGCCAGGGGCTCCTGAAGGTCCTCCATGTTCCAAAGGAACACAGTCCATGTCCCCCATTTGATGGGAAGGTGGCAAAGCCACGTGGTAAGGAGAGCACAGGGGTTGGGAGCACTTACTGTACCCATGCTCGGTATATGCAACCCGAGACAAACGTCCCTGCTCATTTAGAATCACTCTCCAAACTCCCAATGCCCAGCCAATGCCTAGGCTCTTATCTCAGACCTATGAAATCAGGATTTCTGGGAGGGGAAGCCAGGCATCCCGGTCTCCTTTAACTCATCTGTAACCAAGTGATGACAGTGAGGTCTCCTCCTGTGTATGCAAAGCACCTGGCAGACTGGCTGGCTAGTAAACATCCATGTTTCTCCAAGTGTGACCACCCCACCACCCCCCTCCTTGACTCAGCCCACAAGGTCATTGGCAGTGTACACAGGTGGCCTGAGAAAAGTTATAGATAGGTGTTTCTTTTTATAATCTTCTAGTTATGACAAATGATTATGGTTTTCCATTTTCGGTGGTTACGTAGTCTCTGTCTCTCTCTTTAAGTAGGCTTCCATGCCCAGCATGGAGCCCAAGGCGGGGCTTGAACTCAGGACCCTGAGATCGACCCCTGAGCTGAGATGAAGAGTCAGAACACTTAACCAACTGAACCACCCACGCGCCCCTAGACTCTCTTTAAAATACATTTGAGTGAAAAAGGAAAGGAGGTTATTTGAAAGGTCCTAAGTAAACAATGGTATAGCCTAAAAGCACATAGGGCAGAAATCACAAAAGTGCTGGGTGAGGTGAGGCCGGGAAAACCCTCCGGCAGACGATCAATCATGGTAGCTGTCACTGTTCCTATTATTAGCGTTACCTTTAAGGAGCACCAGTTAAAGATCAACCATGGGGTGATTCTGAAATTTAAAAAAGGACACATCTGAGAGCTGAGTGGGCGGAAGCGGACTAGATGTCTGGGAAACCAGTAAAGAGCCCCATTGAGTGTCCTGATTCTCCGCAAGGAGCTGGAATTCTCTGAACTGTGGGAACCGGATGGGGAAGCATCCACAAGCTCCTGAGGGGAAGTAGAGGTCAGTTGTCCCTCCGTTCTCAGGAGGAACCCTAGAAACCAGGGAGATGGACATTACATGCAATGAGGGGATCAAAAAGAAAGGGGGTAGAAGAGTGGGAGGAACAGAAGAGACCAGCGGGCTCTTGTCCCGCTTGGGTCCCCAGTCCTCCTGTGAATTTCAGCCACTCTATGCCACCCCTCCCTCCCCCGATTCCTGCCCCACCAGGCCCTTCTGCAAATCGTAGAGAATGGGGCTGTAACTCCCACGAGCCTTTCAGATCTGAACATTCAGTAATTCCAAGAATTACCTGGTTCCGGGAAACTCTTAAAGGCCTTGGAGGCAGAGACTGTGCCATGGAGGGCGAGGCCAGGGAAGGCCAATCAGAGGCCAAGAGTGAGAGCAGCACGTGGGGCCTTCTGGCAAAATGTGGAAGGACAGGGAGTGGCCAGGTTCAGCTAGAGACACAGCCTTTTGAGGCTCAGAAGGAGTAATTAACCAGAAATTAACATCTAGGATTCCACAACCATACCTGGTTATTCTCAGGTATAAAGTAAAAAGGGAGAGACCCAGGCTTCAGGCTTCAAAAATTAGACAGACCTAAATTCAAAATCCCACTGCAGGCTGTGGCTGTGTGACTTTGGGCCAGTTACTTAACTTCTCTGGACCTCCGTTTTCTGGTCTATAAAATAGGGTCAGTAAAAGTCTGCCTGTGTGTTATTGGAAGGATTAAATGGGACAATGCCTACAAAGCACCGGACACAGAGTAGTAGCCCAATACTTGGGAGCTGTGGCCGTGATCTTCTGAAGCTGACACAAGAGATCTGTGCTGGGCTGAGAGCCCACTGCCCAGAGCTGCTCCTCCCATCTGTCTGCTGAGTTCAAGAGCAAGGATATAAGGCCTGGTTCCAACCATACCAGGGTCCCATTTGTCCCTCTTTGCTGTCCATGCCTTCAACAAGACCCTGGTAACATAAATGGCATCTGATAACCATTAACTAAATGAATAAATAATCTGCTGCGGAAAGAGGGGCTCAAGGGGACGTATGAAGGAGGTTTAGGCCAAATGCTTATAAGAGCCTAGGGACGGGTTTGCTATGTGTGTGATTCCAGGGCAATTGTCTCTCTGGGAGGAGGTGAGGGGACAGGTGGAGGCAGAGGGCTAGTGCTGGATGACTTGGAAGAGCTGAGCCTTGCAGGGTGGGTGGGATGGAGGGCGTGTCAGACAGAAAGGTCCGGAAGAGCAGAAGCTTGTTCAGGGTCAGGTGGGAGAATCAGATTTCAGTCCACATGTTTTAAAAAGATTTTACTTATTTATGAGAGAGAGAGAGAGAGCAAGAGAGTACCCAAGCTGGGGAAGGGGAGAGGCAGAGGAAAAAGGAGAAACAGACTCCCTGCTGAGCAGGGAGCCCGCCAGGCTCAGGGTGGGGATGCAGGGGCTCAATCCCAGGACCTTGGGATCCTGACCTGAGCCAAAGTCAGACACTTAATTGAATGAGCACCCGCCCCCCATTAACAAGGTGCTCTGAGAAGGAATCAGGCAACTCAAGGCCACAAGTTCCCTGTCCGTAGAGGTATTCAAGCAAGTAGAGGCAACCCAGGAATGGAGTGCAGTGGGATTGGACGAGATGTCCTCTAATATTCTACCCAGCCAGAGATTCTGTGACTGTTGGTAGGTCTGACTCAGGGGAGGATGATGGACAGAGATTGCCAGAGGTTCAAGCTGGTCTTGGCAGACTGCACCTGCTGCCTCTCCCAACAGCAGCCTCATTCCTTTGCTTGTATTCTTAGGTCCCTAAGAGCAAGTGTCTCCAAGTTTTGCAGCCTGGGGCTTACATGGAAGAGCAGGAGAAAAGGAAAAATGCTTTGCCGGGGGCTTAGGGGTTTTCTCCCTCCTCCTGTTGAGTCTGCCTATGGAAAATGTTTCTTGCTAGTTTTTTCCAGTAGTCCCCAGTTTTGGCCAACACGTGACTAAGCACCTAAATACCACGTTTCCCAGCCTAGTTAGGTGTGGCCATGTAATTAAATTCTGAACAGATGTAATGGATTCTACTTTAGGTCATGGCCTTAACGATGAATCGGTGTGGCTTCTGCTAGTCCCTTCCCCACTCCCTTTCCACGGGTTGAGATACACATGGTACGTACTGAAGCAGCTAGTTTGGACCCAAAAGTGGAAGCCACGTTGTTGTTTTTTTAAAAGACATATTTATTTATTTGAGAGAGGCAGGGGGAGAAGGAGAAAGAATCTCAAGCAGACGCCTTGCTGAGCGAGAGCCTGATGCAGGGCTCAATCTCACAACCCTGAGATCACAACCTGAGCTGAAACCAAGAGTCCGATGATCAATGGACTGAGCCACCCAAGTGCCCGGAGAGCCATGTTTTGGGGGTGGCAGAACAATGAGCTAAATGTAGCTGGAATCCTGAATGGTGAAGTTGTCATTTTAGCCCAAGAGTACTGACCCTTGGAGCTGTTATGGGACCGAGAGAGAACTTTCTATCCCATTTTGAGCCTCCATTACCGCAGCCCAAACCCAAATCTCAGTCAATAGATCCTCTTACTTGCCCCTTGTTCTTCTCAAACTGATTATGCACAGGAGGTAAGGTTCTTCCTCCCCCAGCTGACCTCCCAGAGCCTTGTCCTGACAGCCCCCTTGGCAGAGGGACTCGCCCCATAGATGAGGACCATGAGAATCCTTGAATTTGAGCCCTCAGTAATCTGGGGCAAATCCCATAATGTTTTAAATCTCAGTTTTCTCCATTTTGCAAGTGGCACCGATGGATACCACTCATTTCAAAAGGTGGTTTTTCTATCATTTTAATTGTATTTTATTTGTAAGTAGGCTCCATGCCAGGTGTGGCCCCAATGCGGGACTTGAACTCACCACTATGAGATGGAGACCTGAGCCGAGATCAAGAGCCGGAAGCTTAACTGACTGAGCCACCCAGGCGCGCCCTGCTCCCCCCAAAAGGTGATTTTTCATGAAAATGACACGCAGGATCAGTAAGACTGCTTATTCTAGAGATAGAGAGGAGCTGGGGAGGAGGCTTGTTTCCCAGGCAGCATCACAAAGAAACAGGAATTTTTCTTGCATTTCGTAAGAAATCATGGAGACACCTTGGCCAGAACATTGGGCACCAGAATAAAACAAAAGGAACACACTGGCCTCTTCCGGTCCAGGAGAACCAAACCGGGGACACACACTCCCAGGCGCACGACCAAATACAGACACTGACAAAACCGGTTCTCATTGGTTCGTGCAAATGCAGCCCCCGCGCAGGCAGACGCATGACCCTGGGCTGAGGGGGGACAGATACCACACACAAGCTGCAGCTGTACTTTCTTTATTGTCCTTCCCGCCCTTAGGGAGGTCCAGTTTCTTCACTGTCTTCGTTTTTTAGGGGCTTTTTTTTTTTTTTTTGGCGACTGCCCCTCCATTCCCTGCCTCTTGCTCCCTATCTTGTCCTTTTGCTGGGACTGGGGGCACTTCCTTGGTGGCCCCTCAGAGCCTCAGTCAGGTAGGGTAAGTCCGGGGGTGGGGTGGTGGGGGGACAAGCAGGCCTGGGCCCCACCCCAGATGCCAATTCTCTGATGCTCCGATTCTCCGTGGTCCTGTCTCCATCGCTGTGTGCTCCGGCCTAACCTAGGGCAAGGGAAGAGAGGGACCGTTCTCATCCTGGGTTCTCACCCTGCCTCTCCTGGTCACTTGCTCTGTGTCTCTAGAGAAGGACCCTCCCTTCCCTGGGACTCTGTTTCCCTCCCCGTTAGCCAAATTTCCCTCCAATTGGAAAGATTCTGCGTTTCCCCCTTTGCTATGGTCCCTAGGACACTTGGAGTTGAATGTGTGTCTTGTTTTATTCTGAGTTGAGACCAGAGTCCCTGGATCCCTTCTTCCCACCCGACCACACACATTCAGACATGTCCTTCCCAGGCAGAGGGCCCTCTGGGTCCCCTGACTCCTTACTTCCAGCTCTGTCTCAGGACCGTGCCCCTCGTCTTTTCCTCTCCGTATTCTGGAGCTTGGTCACCAGCTTCCTCTCATGGCCTCCAGGGTTGGGGCGGTTGGTGTTGGCGGCAGCTTCTCTCTTGGTGCGACCTTTCCGGCCTCCTGCTCCTGGGAACCGGGCAAGAGGCTGGGGTGAGGTGGATGGAGGCCTGGTACATCCAAGGAGAGGCAGAGGGGTGCCGAGAGTGCAGGGTGGAAGGAGGGAGACTGGGGAGTGGTGGCCGCATAGCTTTGGGGCAGTCAGGACCCCCGTTGCTCCCAACGTGGAGTGAGGGGCCCCCGATGGTCTCTTGTTGCTCCCATATTCTAGGGGTGCGCGAGGTCCCAGGGCTGAACAGGACAGCCCTCAATGGAAGAGGGGTTGGAAAGGGGTGACTTGAGGGGTCAGGGGAACAGGGTGGAGAATGGGTTGGAGGGTGGGGAGAAGGCCACGGAGGAATCCTAGTTGGGGGTGTGGAGGAAGCAGGAAGGTGATGGGGCCAGACCTTACCCAGGTAGGAATGAGCTAGGCCATAGAGCTCATACTCATCCAGGCTGGGGTCTCCGTCCTCTGGGCCTCCGGGCTGTTGGGCTGGGCTGGCTGCTCTCGGAAAACTGGCCTTCATACTGGACTATCTCTCTCTCTCTCTCTCGTTTCTCTCTGTCGTCTTTGAAAGCTGTTTGTGTCTGGTTTCTCCACACCTCCCTGGTCACCAGCCCGACTTATAAGGCCACGTGTCCTCTTCAGGATCTGTCTGATGCAATCTGGCCCTTTCCCAGAACCTGACCCAGTAAACAGCAATCACGAGGGGGAAAGAGTCGGTAGTGTGAGTCCCAGCCCCTTTCCCTCATCTCCTCCCTCTGACTGGGGCTCGCCCAGCTGGGTATTTTTCCACAGAGGAGATCCCCGCCCCTGAGGGAGGAGGAGGAAAAAGGCAGCGTGTGATCATAAACAGTCCTTGGGATCATGGCCAGTGGGGATCCGAGGGCCTCACCTGGCTGACCCCTTCTGGTCAGTCCCCTCCCCCTGCCACACAGCTGACCCCCACCCAGTTCTGGCTCAGACACCCAGGTGGCAGATGGTGGAGAGAAGAACACACCCCAAACTAGGTCAGTGGTTCTCACCCCTAACGCACCCAATACCCCTTTTCGATAGGAAACTTCTGGAAAGCCCCCTTAATATCCCGAGCTGCCGGGGGGGAGTGGGTCCCTAGGGAGTTTCCCTTACCCGAGAGGGAGCCTAGCAGAGTGGTTAAAAGTACGGATTCTGGAGCCAGCGGCCCTGGGCTCAATCCTTTCATCTGCTACTTCCTGGGTGACCCCAGACATGTCACCTTCCCTCTCTGTGCCCTGGTTTTCTCAACTGTAAAAACAAGGACGATGATAGCTTTGTTGACCTCCCAGAGTTGGCGAGAGAATTGAGCGAGAGTCCACAGGGAAGGACCCTTGCCAAGGTGCCTGGTACCATGTACACTGCAACGCAGGAGTTATCCACAGAATTTCCAAACAGCTCAATCCTGCCGTCCCTAGAAGGTAAAGCAGACGTAAAAGGAAACCAATTTTTTAAAATTTTTCTTTTAAGATTTATTTATTCATTTGAAAGAGCATGAGCAAGGGGGAGGGGAGGGGGAGAAGCAGACTCCCCGCTGAGCAGGGAGCCTGATGTGGTAGTGGTGGAGGGGACTCGATCCCAGGACCCCAAGATCATGAGCTGAGCTGAAGGCAGGCACATAACAAACTGAGCCATCCAGGCACCCCAGGAAGTCAATTTATAATGAAATAATGTCTTTCACAACGTGGATATACTGGGGTAGAAGACATTATGAAGTCCACAGGTGTTTGGACCTATTTCATATGAATTAAGGAAAGGGATTCGGAGAAGAAACGCATGAAACTGGTATTTTCCACCTTCGCCTGGAGGGATCTGCCGAGCTGACCCAGAGAGGCCACTCCCTGTCCACTCATGTTTTCACTGAGGTATATGGGTCAGCTCCCATGGTCCCGGGCAGGAAAGGAGGCAGATACAACCTTCCACCTTTTTAATTTTTTTTAACCTCAGTGGTCTCCAGTACAATAGGACAGGCTGGGGCAAGGCCAAGTGGGTGGTCATTCTCTGCTCCCGTTCCCACTTCACTGTGAGTCCATTCAAACACTGTTTCCTCTCAGTGTTACCTAATTTCACCCCCCCCAACCCTGTAATAACCCAGTCCCGTCCTTTGCTTCACAAGAACAGATACTTCTGCTTGCGTTTCTCCCTGACCTGAGCCAGAATTAAATTTAGTTTTTGTTTTTCAGGTGTGGTTGATTTGTGAATTCCTGAATATCCAGGAAATGAAAGTGAGGTCACTTGAATAAAACACAGTTTGGGATAATTACGTAAGGGCCCCGGGGAAGGCCACCCCCAAATGTGCCGCTTTTGCATGTTGGTTATTTTAAATAAAAATTACCTAAGAAACAACCGGTGTGAGGTGGGCTCTCAGACCCTCCTCTGAACCCCGGAAAGCAGGACATAAAATTCCCAAGTAAAAGATCCGCTCCCTGGACCAGGAGGTAAAGAGACATCCTTTCTTTCTTTCTTTCTTTCTTTTTTTTTTTTTTTACTAATTTACAAAGTTTTCTATGTCCTTTCAATTCCTCCCAGTTTTATAGTCTCTTTGTCTAAAAAGATAAAAACTACCTGCCTCAGTCATTTCCTGAGGTCTTAATTTCATGACACACATAATAAAACTTTGCTTTTCTGGGTTGTTAATCTGTCTCGTGTCAATTTAATTTTTTTTTTTAAAGATTTCACTCATTTACCCGACAGACAGATATCACAAGTAGGTGGCGGGGGTGGGGTTAAGCAGGCTCCCCGATGAGCAGAGAGCCCGATGTGGGGCTCGATCCCAGGACACTAGGATCATGACCTGAGCCAAAGGCAGACGCTTTACTGACTGAGTCCCCCAGGCGCCCAAGATATGGGGTTCTTACAAGGCAGTGGGCTGGGACACCTGGGTGGCTCAGTGGGTTAAGTCTCTGCCTTTGGCTCGGGTCATATCTCAGGGTCCTGGGATCGAGCCCCACATCGGGCTCTGTGCTCAGTGGGGAGCCTGCTTCCCCCTCTCTCTCTCTGCCTACTTGTGATCTCTGTCTGTCAAATAAATAAATAAAATCTTTAAAAAAAAAAAAAAGGTGGTGGGCTTCACCACTACCTGGGATGGGGTAGGTTCTAGGCTCAGGTCATTGGAGATAAGTGTTTTCGCTTCTTGACTGTGTAGCAGGACACTCAAATGCCTGCAGGATGTGGTACAATTCTGCATGTGACTGTCCTGCTCGGCCTGCCTGCCTGTCACTGTGACTACCAAGAACACCCCCACAAATTCCCCATCACTAGCCGTGAGATCTTGGGCTCACTTCTGACTTTCCATCTGCTCATCGGGAAAGGGTAGATGGAGAGAGCACCGCTGGGTGGGGGGGAAGGGCTTGGTCCCGAGCCAGCATGGTGTGGACTGCTTTTTCCAGCGATCTTCAAAGAAGGGAAACTGAAGCTCAGAGAGACTTGCTCAAGGTCACAAGGCTGGTGAGTGGTGAAGGATTCTCCCCACCACTGAGGTCTACCTGATCCCAGTTCCAGCCTGGTTCTAAGTCAGCACAGCCAGCCCAACACTAGCAAAGGTTTGGCAACTGTGTGTGTGTCAAACGCTCGTCAGGGATTCCTTCTTCCTGCCCTCCCTCCCCCTACTTTGGACCAGGCTGGGTGCTAAGAATGCCCCATTTTTACCCCATTACCCTAATTTTTTAAAAAAAGATTTTATTTATCTATTTGACAGAGAGTAAGCACAAGCAGGGGGAACAGCAGAGGCAGAGGTAGAAGCAGACTCTCTGCTGAGCAAGGAGCCCAATGTGGGGCTTGATCCCAGGACCCCGAGATCATGAGCTGAGCTGAAGGCAGACGCTTAATGACTGAGCTCCCATGCACCCCCAAATTACCCTCATTTTATTACACTTTCTCCATATTGTACAGTCAGTCAGCACTAATTTTTTGTTTACTTCTTCATGCGTTGTTCCCCCAAGAAGGCAGTCCTGGGGGCGCCTGGGTGGCTCAGTGGATTAAGTCTCTGCCTTCAGCTCAGGTCATGATCTCAGGGTCCTGGGATCGAGCCCCACGTCGGGCTCTGTGCTCAGCAAGGAGCCTGCTTCCCCCTCTCTCTCTCTGCCTGCCTCTCTGCCTACTTGTGATCTCTCTCTCTCTCTGTCAAATAAATAGATAAAATCTTAAAAAAAAAAAAAAAGAACACAGTCCTGGTTTGGTTTAGTTAGTGGTTAAAGGACTAGGCTGTGCATCCAGACAGCCTGGGTCCAAAGCTGGGTTCTTGCCCTCAGACAAGTTATTTAGCCTCTCTGTGCCTCAGTGTCATTTGTATGATGAGATTGATAATAATACCTACCTGGAGGGATTGTTGTGAGGATTAAAAGGGCCAGTTCTCGTGAAGTCTCCACCCAGTGCCGGGAACAGAGTGAGTGGTCAATAAATTACCGTTATCACCATTCACAAGGGCAGGAATCTTGTCTATCTTACTGTGACCCTCCAGGCCTGGCCCACAGTCAGGGCTCAATAAATGATCAGCTGAATTCACGAAACTGTTTTAAGAATGGTGGGTTTTAAAGCTTCCAGGTCCTCTGCTCTGGGGGGAACTGAGAGGCCCAACTCTAGTCCCACTGAAGACCGTGAAGACACTAGGGCCATCCTCCGCGGAGCCAGCAGAGAACATCTCCCTGTCCTTGATCTTGCACTTGATGGAAAAATAAGGTCTCGATCCTGGGCAGGGCAGGCAGAGGGAGGGTGGCCAAGAGAGAAGAGACTTTGGGGAACACATGGCACGGACCCCCAGGGCCCAGAAGGTGACTCAGTGGGAAAAGGTGTGTATGTGTAATCAGCCACAAGGAAGTTTGTTTTCTTTCTGCATGTGATTGTACCTTCATGATGCTCCAAGAAATCTCTTGCCCAACAGGCATGCCTATTACAAGCCAGCGTGATCAGCCCGAACTAAACCCAGGGGGCTGGGGAGCTCTCAGAAGGGTACCCAACCCAATGGGGAGTGGGGAGGGTGGGGAGGGTGCAGGGGTGGGGAGAGAATCAGGGCAGGCTTCCTAGAGGCAGTGAAGCCTAAAGAAGAGTGACTGGGAAAGACAGCAAGATAAATCCACCTGCCCAAGTTAAACCACCCAAGTCAGGAAAGCCTGGACAGCCTGGTGGATGTGCAGAAATCTTTGGCTTCAAGGATCTGGAGATTCCCAGGTTCGAACGCAGAGTATGTCATCATGCCGGCTTGGGGCCATCCCTGTGTACCAAGGAGACCCAAGAAACCTAAATGCAGTGAAACAATACGGGTCTGTATTGACTTTAGAGTGGCAGCCCAGAGAAGCCCCGAGCCCAGCAGCTGACGTGCGGTTATCCCTGGCTATGTGATAGAATCACCTTGAATATAAAGGGATGTAATCTTTTTTTAAAAGATTTTTGTTTATTCCTTGGAGAGAGAGCCCACGAGAGAGGAGAGAGAGAGCACACAAGCGAAGGGAGAGGCAGAGAAAGAGAAGCAGGCTCCCTGCTGAGCAGGGAGCCTGATGTGGGGCTCCACCCCAGGACCCTGAGATCAGGACCCGAACAGAGGGCAGACGCTTAATCGACTGAGCCCTCTAGGAGACCCTGGATGCAGCCTTTTGATGGGCAGTTTGGCGATACTAGTAATTTTTTTTTTAAACGAAAGGCTTTTTAAAAAATTTTTATTTATTTATCAGAGAAAGAAAGAGCACAAGCAGGCAGAGGGAGAAATGGACTCCCCGCTAAGCAAGGAGCCCAGTGTGGGACTCGATCCCAGGACACTGGGATTATGACCTGAGCTGAAGGCAGCGGCTTAACCAACTGAGCCACCCAGGCATCCCTACACTAGTAATGTTAAACATTCATCCCCACCCCCCCATACCACTCTGCTCGTAATAGTGAAAAACTGGAAACAACCTAAGCGTCCACCAAGAAGTAATCAGGTGATCAGGATCCTTCCATGAAATCCTCCGTAGCCATTAACCAGAATAAGCTGTGTCTCCAGCTGTGAGGAGAAAGTCGTCCATAATACATTGGTGAATGAAAAAAATCACGTTGCAAAACATTATGTACAATCCTAATTAGTCTTTCTCTTTTTACTTTTTTTAAAAGATGTCATCTATTTATTTGCGAGAGATGGACAGAGATAGCGACAGAGAGCATGAACAGGGAGGACAGGGAGAAAGAGCCTCCCAGGCGTCCCAATTATTCTTTTTTTAAAAGTTTTATTGATTTAAGTAATCTCTACCCCTAATGGGGGCTCAAACTCACGACGCCAAGATCAAGACTCATGCTCTTCTGACTGAGCCAGCCAGACACCCCCAGTTTGGTGTTATTTTTAAAATACTCTCTGTCTCTCTAGTTCTATTGCCAAGGACGTGATGTTTCAGCACACAGATCATCTGGCATAGAAAGAAGAAAGTGTACGTGGCTCCCGTTTACCCAAGTGTAGACAGTAAGATTTTTCCAAACCCTGTAACTTACATTATCTCTTTAGACGCGTAGTATAGACGACTTCTTCTTTTAAGATTTGAGAGACAGAGAGCATGAGCAGGGTGGGGGTGGGCAGATGGAGAGGGAGAGGCAGACTGAGACTTCCTGCGGAGCCGGGAGCTCAATGCAGGACTCCACCCCAGGACCCTGAGATTGTAGCCTGAGCCGAAGGCAGACACTTAACCAACTGAGCCACCCAGTCACCCAGGCACGGTATAGACTTTTAGTTAAGCTAAAATTTTTATATCACCTGGGTCACGTCGCAGAGCTCAGGAGGGGGACGTCAGGACACCGGGGCACCCAGCATACAGCTACAGTCGTGAAGAACAGAACCAAATGGATTTCAGAAAATCTCAAGCAGCCCTATAAGCCGTCACTTCAGCTCATGTTACCATATATTCTCCAATCAATTTCACTTTGTCAACATAGCTTGAGTCGTCAAAAATGCGGACATACAAAAAAAGGACATACATAACAACAATGTTCACTTTTGTAAAATGATGATATTTACCTCCAGTGAGGAGTCCTGTCTCTTCAAGTCCCAAATCCATTTCTCGCTGGGGTCATGGTGTCTGATGTCTGATGCTGTCACTTCTGTGTTCACAGGCTCACTTTCTCTGCTGGGCAGTTTGGCATGTTCCTGGTAGAATAAATACACAGAGGTCCTTAATGTCCGGTTGTCTGTTCAAATAACCAGGTGGACGGGGTACCTGGGTGGCTCAGTGGGTGAAGTGTCTGCCTTCAGCTCAGGTCATGCTCTCGACCCTGGGATAGAGGCCCAGGAGGGAGAAATCCACACTCAGTGGGGAGTCTGATCCTCCCTCTCCCTCTGCCCCTCCCCCTGCCTGTGTTATCTCTCATCTCTCTCTCTGTCTCTCAAATAAATAAAAATCTTAAAAAGAGAAACCAAACAAAGTGGACAATATCACCTTAAAATTTCTGGTGAGGGCTTCTTGGGTAGGTTCACAATCCTTGACTGTATAAATTCCAATCCAGGTTTTATGCTATCTAGCTGACCTTCTATCCAACCACTCCTGGATGGTGAGGTGCTTCTGGGACCCCTTATAGAAGAAGTACTGGTCTTCGAAGGGGGCATCCTGCCTGAGGAATGTCCAGAGAATCCTGGGGGTCCGTCAAAGCGATCTCTGAGCCTGTTCCATCTGATACAACATTCCATACTAACAGAGGAAAGTCTATTCAGATAATATATTCAAATAATAAAGACCATCATCTTGGAGCTGCTGTCACCCATGGAACCTCAGGCTAATCTTATTTTTGTAAGCAAAATCATTGTAGTTATTGTAAAAGAACAAAAACAAAAACGAGAGGAGGGGAGATCAGGGGATGGTACACAGTGGTCATACCCTAGACTAGGATAATGGAAAATGTATACTTTCTCCATTACAGATTCTAGATTGCTGAAATGTGTGGCTTCCTGCAGTGTATACCTATTTTAGAAGTGACGGGGGATACGGGGATTAAAGCCATTTTTAAGAGCTACTGTATTGTAGCCCCTTCCTCCCTCGGGTTCCATGCACACAACACCACCTTCTGGTCGTGCTGTGCCTTCTTCTGTATGTGTTGGGGATACAAAGCAGTAAGTGTGAACAGCTTGCCCCACCTGCCTCCCGTGGGAGGTCAGATCCAACTGAACAGCCCATAACCAAACCAAATGAGAGTTCAGTCAGTCTATGCACTGCAAGCCAATGAACACTGACACCAAGCTTTTGCCGTGAAGGAAGATAGGCTATTTATTGGTGTGGTGTCACTAAGGGAGTTAATGCTCCAAAGTCCCACTCCCTGATGGCTTACAAGTGAGGGTTTTTAAGGGCAAAATTTGGGGCTAGGCTTGGCGGGGGGGAGCTTCTGAGAAGGTGGATGCTTTTGATTGGAGACCCATAAGTCGTGTTAATGGATGTGACTTAGCTGCTTCTCGTGTTGCTCTGTCTGGTCCCAGGAAGGTCTACACGTGGTAAGCTCATTTGGTTGAATTCTTTCATGTTCCTTTGAATGGTAAGCAAGCGTTCCTATCTCTTGGGCCTGGAGCTCTATGTTCCCTGGCGAGTCCAGCCGTCCCTGGGGGTGACACGACCTCTAGGTAGGTCTGTCATCAGAACTAACAAGATGGATGTGGGCTTCAAGCCTTTTTTTGTTTTGTTCAAGTGGGTAATGGGTAGGCATGAACAGGGACAAGGTGAGAGAGGGGCATCTGGCTTTCCACAGAAGGAGCCTGAAGCCCCTTGGCAAAAAGCCAGCTCTGAAGGGGGAGAAAGCAAAGAGAGGGGAGAGATGTGAGTATTGCCCTCAGCAGGGGAACCCTGTGAAGGGAGTGTTAGGAAGTTGTTAAGGGAGTGTTAGGAAGCCATGCTATGTAACTCCCTCTGCAGGTCCTCAAGAGACCTTCAGTCAAGATCCCTGTGACTTCAAGGCTTTTTAGAAAGGATTTCAGATGTGATGCTCCAATCCAGTGAGACTAAAGGGCAGACCAGAGGGCCCAGTCTTTTTTTTTTTTTTTTGCCACTGTGGCTTTCTTACAGAAAGGGACTCTGCTGTCCAAGCAAAGGGAGTGTTCTGGTCAGCACTACAGTTTTAAATTTCCCCATATAACTTAGCGGGTTCTGGTTTACACATCAGTCTCTTGTGAGTCACATCAGTGCGAGTCTATCCTGAGAGGTTGCTAGCAAAATGGGATTTCTGGGGGAAAAAAGAACACTCTGGACAAATGGATGAGGGCAGACAATTCAAGGGGCTATTAGTCTCACCTGGCAGTTATACTGCCCAGAAAAATCCTCACATTGGCCACAAGAGGGCAGGCTTGAGACTGTTCTGGGTGACGCTGTTTGTGGTAGCCAGTAGTTGGGACATCCATCACGCAATTTAGACACATATCACACGACAATGTGAGTGTCTATTATGAAATATTGCACAGTTATTCTAAGTAACAGGCACACAAAGCACCAAGGACAAGTCTTAAAAGTATCGTGCTGAGTGGGAAAAATGAGAAACTCAATGAGGTTTCTAGCACAATACCATTTAGGTAGATTAAAAATCCATGCATACAAGACAACATGCGTGTTTGACAAAGACACTCTCACACACACTGGGGAAGGGAGGAAAAGTAAAGCAATAAGGGCCATAAATAGGATAAACAAGCGAGAGGGTATCCAGAGCCCAATGATTACAGTCTCTCAGGAAGCAAGCAAAGAGTAGCCCAACCTCTACATCTGGGAATAAACAATTAAAAGGTCTTACAGTTGTTTAGGCAAGTGTGGCTTAGACCAGGGCACATGTGGTGGAGATGAAAAGTGGATGGAGCATGTGATACGAATGAAACACATAAACCATATTTAACATATACAGTATGTGGCCAACAAATGAGAACTGTTCCTATTTATTATTGAACCAATCAACATGGAATTTCTTGGTCGGCACTACAAGATTTAGTGATCCATTCCCCTTAGGAGGCTGACCTTGCCTGAAACAATGTATTCTTGGCTAATAATACCCTTTTTTCCCCCGCTCCCTCTCTGTCTTCAAAAACCTTTCCTTTTCTTCAGCTCGATGGAACTCCTTTCTATTTGTCAGATGGGATGCTGCCTGATTCATGAATTGTTCCACAAAACCAATTTCACTTCTTAAGTTAGTCGAATTTTTGTTGTTTAACAGTAGAACCATCAGAGATTACAGATAAATTCTGTGACTAAGGTCAATAGTTGACATTCAGGAGAGACAGCTTCTGAGACCTCTACAAACACGAAATTTGTGAAATCCTCGCCAGCATAAGCTTCTTAAAAATGCAGGATGTAGAGCTGAGACTGGGTCGGTGGTCAGGCCATTCAGTGAGATAGAGACTTCAAAAAGAAACAAGCTTGATGGCAAAAAAAATGTTGTGTTAATTTGGGGCTGAAATAGTTTGTGTTGAAGTCTGAGATTCTTCTAAGTGCGTAGACAAATATTGAGGGCCTGTGATGTGCCCTCATAAGTACTAGGAATGTACTAAGTACTAGGAATACAAAGGTGAACAAAACAGATGATTCTAATCTTATTGAGCCGGCAAGTGTAAAAATAAACGAAAGAAATGTTAATTTCAAGCTTTGGTAGGGGTTATGTAAGAAACCTTAAGATACTAAGATGTAAAGTAATGTAGTTTAATATTTATTCATGTCCTTAACACGTTCCTGGGAAATCTCCCCTAAAAGTGCAATTTCTGGGTCTACGGATCTACTTGTTTTAATTTGTTTAAAATTTTTTTCAAACAGACTTTATATTTTGGAGCAGTTTGAGGTTTAAAAAAATTTTTTTTAATTATCTTACAGAGGTTTGGGGGAATGACAGAGGATGCTGAAAACATGAGTGCCCTAGCGTGTTAAAACGTTCAGCGGGCCAGTCCGGCGTAGTGTGATACAATGTAAAAAACTACATATCCCAAGGAGCAGCGCGGCACGTCACAGAGAAAATACGGCGCGTGCGTGGAGGGGGTTCGCGCTGCGACTGGCTCATAAAAGGAGAAAAGCGTGTGCGGGTCTCGACGTGCCGCGAATCTTCGAACGCAAGCGCGTTATGATCTTCAGAATTTGAAAAAGGGTTCGAGGGGCGCGCTCGCGCCTGCCGTCGTAATTGCGAGCGCGACGTGCCTGTTCCGCCGGTGGCTTGTCAGGTGGGGATGGGTCGCGGTCTGGGGCCCCCGGGGAATGGGGGTAGCGGAGGGCCGGGGGTCCCTGCCCCCCGCCCCCTACGTTCCCATTCCCGAGCCTCCCAGAAGCCGCTCTCGAGGGGCGGTGCGCACGCGCCCTGGGCGAGGAGAGGCGGGGCTGGGGAAGGGAGGGCCCGCGCCAGCGGTGTTGGGATCTGCGCGTGCGCGGGCCGGCTCGGCCAGGAGGGGAAGCGGGCGAGCGCGGTCCCCGGCGCGCAGGCGGCGGAGGCGGGGTTCTGAGCCCAGGCGCGAGAAGACGGTGTCTGAGGATAAGCTCCTGTTAATGAGATAACTATTCGCCCTCCAGAGACTTCAGTGGCCTCCTCGTCTCTCTGCGCCCGTTTGCAGCATGAGGTCCAGGTTTCTGAACCCGCCCCAGTCTAGGCCCCCGCCACTCCACTTGAGATAGCACTTACGTTGAAACTAGCAGTGGTCCCTCGGTCGCCAAATCCAGTGTTCTGTTCGTTCTCACTCCCGTAGCAATGGTTGGTGCGGGTCATCACTGCCCTTTCTTGGGGCACGTTTTTCATTTGATTTGTGGAACATTCTGTTCGTTAGCCTCAGCTCTCTAGTTTCTCCTTTGCTCTCCGGAGCTATCCGTTTCAAGACTTTAAGTATAAATACCGTCTCGGGCGCTCTCAGATTTCCGTCTTCAACCCAGTGCTCTACCTTGAACCCCAGATTGACGTCTCTTAAAATGTCAAATCGGTATCTCAGAGATGTCCAGAACTGAAATTTTGAGCCTTATCCTCTCACATACCTTCACCTTCCCCAGTCTTCCCATTCTTCCACTTGCTTAGGCCAAACACTGAGTTATTCTTGGTGGGTTTTGCACCCGCCCCCTTTCCTTTTAGTACCTATTTGCCCTTGAGGCTTTGAAGTTTCACTACTGGCACTTAGTCTCTCAAAGAGATACTCTGTCAAAAAGATATTCTTTTTGGCGCTTGGTCCTGTTTGCCTGAGAATTTGTGTTTTCAGTTTTTCAGTATTCCCTGTCATCGTTTATTCAAATTTATCCATGTACCTATTGTGTTCTCTGTGTTCCTTTAAGAGTGTTTACTTCACCGACTAATAAGTATATGGAAGTATTTGTTTAAAGTTTGTGTTCCTTTCTGGACCGAATTTCGTAAGCAAGGCAGGGACACTTTTTTGTCATTCACTGTTGTCTCTTTCTTTCTTTTTAAGATTTTATTTATTTGACAGAGAGAGAGGGATCACAAGCAGGGGGAGCGGAAGAGGGAGAAGCAGGCACCTCGCTGAGCAGGCAGCCCAATGCAGGGGCTGGATCCCAGGACCCCGGGATCATGACCTGAGCAGAAGACAGACACTTAAGGACTGAGCCACCCAGATGCCCCACTGTTGTCTATTTCTCATGCTTGTCACAGAGTGGGTATTTGACAAATACTACTAAGGGAATGAATTTATAGAGAAGTACCTCTTCTCCGTAAGTGGGGAGTAGACTGTCCCCCTTAGAGTCTTATAGCTAATTGGGGTGCCTGGGTGGCTCTCTTGGTTAAGCGTCCAACTCTTGATCTCAGCTCAGGTCTTAATCTTGGGGTCATAAGTTCGGGCCTCGCATTTTGGGGTCATGAGTTCAGGCCCCACGTCAGGCCCACATTGGACTCCATGCTGTGTTGGGCTCCATGCCGGGCATGGAGCTTACTTTAAAAAAGAAAAAAAAAAAAAAAAAAAGGCACATTTTTTTTTTTTTCCTGAGGTTCGAGTGAAGGTATTTAATAGTCCAGCTCCAGAATTGTTGAAAGACTATTTTAAGAGATATTCAGGATTCAGTGTGGTTCAGTGATCTATTCTGAAGACTTAGTAGGTGCCAGGCCCTGTGCTAGTTGCGGGGAATATTAAAGAGGAATACAACTGCATGGCAGTCTTCTAAGAGCTCATGGTCTCCAGGAGAGACAGGTAAGTGAAACAGTCACTCGGCGTATGTGTGACAAGTGCAGGAACAGAAGTTTGACCACTGTGCTTTGGAAGATTTGACTGCCATTGGCATCAGGGTAGATGAGTGGGGCCTGGGGCACCCTGCCATACTTTTCTGGCTCTGAGCAGCTTTGTTCTTTTACACGAGTCTGCCATTCACATGTGATTGTAAGTATTCCGTTCTGCGTGTGCTCTGGCGTGAAGAAGGCTGGCAAGCGCCACTGTAGAAGTGTTAGCTTTGCTGCTAGTTGATTTGGACCCTGAAAGATGAGCAAATTTGAGACCCAGGGGAGACGGGGAAGGATCAGGGAGCATTTCAGGCAGGCATGACAGAAGCACCAAAGTGTGTGCTTGTTTGGAATGTGGGCTCTGGAATTGCTAACTGTGGTTATCGTGTGCTGTTGCTGTTTGAGAGGGCCGGGCTGTCTGGGATCTGAAGAAGGGCCTTGGCAGTGTTTTGTAGGGGCGCCTGGCTGGCTCAGTCAGAGGAGCATGTGGCTCGTGATCTTGGGGTCATAAGTTCAAGCCCCATGTTGGGTGTAAAGATTGCTTAAATTTAGCTTCAAAAAAAAAAAAACAAACTTAAAAAAAAGGTGCTTTGTAAACCACAGTGTTTGTTTCATAATCAGCTGGCCCAATTGTGGGCACCCTATTCTCAGGGGGTAGGTCCATCAGCATCCATCAGCAGCAGCTTTAGTGACCCAACCTTCTGGAGCTGGAAGTGGGGACCTGTAGTAAGTCACAGGCCTTTCGAACCCTGGTTCTAAAATTGTGTACAAAGAGCCTTACAAAGATTTTATTTTATTTTTTTGGCCAACCAAAATACAGCCTTCATTTTTTTTTTTTTAAAGATTTTATTTATTTATTAGAGAGAGAGATCACAAGTAGGCAGAGAGGCAGGCATAGAGAGAGGAGGAAGCAGGCTCCCTGCTGAGCAGAGAGCCCGACTCGGGGCTTGATCCCAGGACCCTGGGATCATGACCTGAGCTGAAGGCAGAGGCTTAACCCACTGAACCACCCAGGCGCCCCTACAGCCTTCATTTGTAACATAATTTTGTACATCTGGAGTATGAGAGTAATCCTTTTACAAATGGAACTGATTGGTCGGATGAACGACGACAAGACCAAACTGGTATTTCATGGGAATCCACAGGAGTTTGAGTCTCAGGTCCAGCCAAGAAGTTTGTCACAGTCTCTTTCAGCTCAGCATCTGACTGTTCTGAGATCTTTCCATCCGTCCTTCTATGCCCAACAGGGCTTGGTGCTGGCTGATGACACGAGCCAGGAAAACGTGCTCAAACTTTGTGATCGTGCCGGGCTCCGATTTGTCCAGATACCCTCTTCCACCGGCATGAGTAAAGCCACGTGTTCGTTGGTAGCTGTGGAAGAGTCCTGTCCTCGCTTCAGCAGCTCAGTCGGCTGAATGCCGTGACCGCAACATCAAGGTCAGAACTGAACCGGGCAAAGGCAGCGACCTCACGGTACTGAGCCAACTCCATCTTCGTGGTGCCTGCCGCCTCCTCATGGCCCTGGTTTGGGCGGCAGATCCCACATGGGCCACAGACAAGCCAACAGTAATGGCGGGGAGGATTCCTCTGTAGAACAGCTAACCGTTTCCAAGAAGATCTGTCCATCAGTGGTGGAAATGACCTCTGTTGGAATATAAGCAGACACATCGCCAGCTCGTGTTTCTGTGACTGGGAAAGCAGTCAAGGAGACACCACCAGAGGAAGCATTCGTTCTGGCTGCTTTCTCTAGCAGACGGTGGTGCAGGTAGAACACACGGGATCAGCCTCGCGAACGGGGCTGGCGGAGCAGCAGAGATATCTGACGGTAAGCGACAGCCTGTTCAGTAGATGATCAAAGCAGGTTTGCCATTATATCTAAAATATTCTCCCATAGAACCGCCAGGATAAGGAGCCAGGTGCTGAAATGGAGCGGCGTCAGGAGAGTAGCTGAAGCCACAACGGTGTACCTCACGGCCTTTGCATCTGGAGGTCTCATCGCCAGCTGAGCACCCGTGGGTCCCCTCTGACCAACAGCAGTGTAGATACTGTGTAGCTTCTGCTTTTCATCAGGTCTGTTGTTGGAACATTTCTGGTTAATGATTGCATCTAAAGCCGTTGGTATTTTACCAGTCTGTCGGTCCCCAGTAACCTGCTCACGCTGACCAGGACCAGTCGGCAACAAGCTCTCCGTAGCCTTCATGCCAGTCTACATTGGTTTGCGCACAGAGATTCAAGAAACGATCCCAGGGCCTTTCAGGCCAACTCCCCTATGGATCTGGGAACCAACTGGACCCTTTCCATCAGTGGCATTACCGAGGGCATCTGCAGCACGGCCCGGTAACTCCTCACCAACTGGAACGTCCCCGGTGGCGCCTGTTCTCTTCATGATACCGCCTTCCTCAATTAGTTTATCATTTCCAAACACAACAATACCACCATTGTCAGCTTCCAAGTTCAGAAACATACCTGTAAACCTAAAGAAAACTCCACCATTCCCTGTGCCTGAACATTTCTCAGCGCACGTACACGGGCACTGCCATCATCAGTGCTCAGGACACGGCCAGCCTCTTCAAGGTCTACAGAGGTATCAGCTCTAAGAATATGCTCTTCAAGAACAGAGGACACTTCGGCAGTGCCTGTCTTCCAAAGATGGGTGTTAGAGGTATGGAGGTTCCTTGCAGCAGTGAAGGGTGATCCCAAAGCATTTTTGGGGGACAGTCCGGCCCGCCGAGGGAAGGCACAGGCCATGGCTGTGGTGACGTGCGCAGACAGCATCTTCTCAGCTTCTCCTCCGGGCGGGTGGCGGGGTGGGGAGGGGGTCACTCTGCAGCCACAGCCTCCGGACTGACTGCCTTACAGAGACTTTCACTGAATCTCCTATAGAATTTTACTGTATCATCTGCACTGAAACAAAATACCCAATTTACATCGCTCCAGGATTTGTGGTCTCTGTATCCATGTAGTAGAAGCCAGTGTGTTGAACATCGAACCAACGGGGTTTGGATGTTGATCGTACTAAGG